GGAGATGAAAAAGGTATGTATGGACTTATCTAACTATGGGGGATGAGGTAAATAGGCTAAAGTCCCAAAAAGTCGTAGTGTTCCTTTAAGGTTCAGTCATTTCACTTAAATGGCAGTGACTGATTGAAGAATATATTTTTTTTTTTTTACTTTTCTTTGTAATAATGTTACTATTTGTTATTCTTACAGATGACTGTGGTGAAGATGGATGAAGATGGATGAGGCTTTCAAGTGCAGGATCTACAATTGTTTTCGTTTCACCTTTTGTTTTGCCTGTTTTGAATGTGATGCACAGCCTAGCCCTATATAATTGTGTTTTTTTGTCTGTTTTTAATCAACAATTAAACAATGAATCGACAAAAACATGGACTGTACAGGTTTATTTATATAGATTTACTGTTGTATTTTATTGAAGTAAAAAAAAAGATGAATTGTTGTTGAACATAAAGAAAACTATTGTCTATGTAATGTTCTGGGAACCAAAAACGAACTTTCTGGTAACCAAAAACTAACGTTATGATAACCAAAAACTAATGTTCTGAGAACATTCTGGGAACCAAAATCTAACGTTCTGAGAACGTTAAGAAAACTTTCCCAGCTAACCAAAAACAAACCATAAAAAATAACGTTCTGAGAACCAAAAACTAACGTTCTGAGAACGTTCTGGGAACCAAAAACCACTCTTCTGGGAACCAAAAACTAATGTTCTGAGAACGTTCTGGGAACCAAAATCTAACGTTCTGGGAACGTTAAGAAAACTTTCCCAGCTAACCAAAAACAAACCATAAAAAATAACGTTCTGAGAACCAAAAACTAACGTTCTGGGAACCAAAAACCACTGTTCTGGGAACCAAAAACTAACTTTCTGAGAACCAAAAACTAACGTTCTGAGAACGTTCTGGGAACCAAAAACCACTCTTCTGGGAACCAAAAACTAACTTTCTGAGAACCAAAAAACAACGTTCTGGGAACCAAAATCTAACGTTCTGGGAACGTTAAGAAAACTTTCCCAGCTAACCAAAAACAAACCACAAAAAGTAACGTTCTGAGAACCAAAAACTAACGTTCTGAGAACGTTCTGGGAACCAAAATCTAACGTTCTGAGAACGTTCTGGGAACCAAAAATTGTTAGCTGGGACGAAATGACCGCGAAAAATAACCACAACAAGCTGCCATTTTATGAAGAACTCTTCAGTTCCCTTCCCTCGTAAGAACACGCAGGCCGTGCATCGCGTCGCTGTCGGTCGGCAACGTTTTCGCCATACATCTGGTTAGTAATTCATATTTTTATGCAAACCATATGAGTTACTTACGTTAACGTTAGAAAGAAGTGGCCGCGGAATGTTCTACGTATGTATAAGTCAGACGCGGATTTCTTTTATGTTGATAGCCTTACTTGATTAAATGTGATTTTATTGACATATATTTCATATGTAACCTCTTATACGGTCAAAATGGTCTAATCATTTTGTTATTTACCACGTTAAGTCGGTGGAAGCGCCTGCACGTTCATTATTTTATGACTTACAGGGGTTAGGAATTGCTAATCGATAAATGTATCCTGAAATCGGACATCCAAGATTAGGATTCGGGTTTATTGGTATAAAATTAAAGTGCCGATTCCTCTTATTGATTTTTTCACGCTTATTTTCGTGTAAATCCTGACCTGGCGTTCTGCCATTATAACGTTACCTCAGTGATAAAGTTGGACCGCGGAAAGCGCCCAAGGTGTATTTTTGTCCAAAATACAAAGCTATGTGTGACATTTACAGTATTTGTTGTGGTCTTTGTTAATCTTTGGTTATCATTAACGACACATACACGAGGGAGTTAGCCTGGTGTTGAACACTTTACTAGCGAACTTAGAATCAGCAACAACAAAAAAAAACCCGGGTCATACCAACTACACAAACTGCCTGGGGGTGTTCCGGTAGGAACCATTCACTGCATATACTACAGTATTGTTGGCTATAATATCATTTTTTTTTTTTTTTTTTTACTATGTGTAAACTGACATGTACTCATTTGAAGGGAACGATGCCTTGTCAATCTTTTTTTAAGTCATGTAACTTAGTATCACACAAGCAAGATTTAGCCTACGTTTTCACGTGATCGTAAATGAATTGATTTTAAACAACAGTCCAACAAACAAGATTTTAGTATTAAGTGAATTACACTTTAGACATCATTTTGTCTGTTTTTGCTGTTTAGCCAAAACAACAACAAAAACGTACTATATTTTAACTGTCTTGTCTGTTCTCCTTTTCCACAGGTGTGAGCTGTGCATGTTAAGAAGACCCCTATCCATCTTGACGACCGATGAATTGTAAATCTAATCTAATTTAATTATTCTATTTATCTAACTACTACTACTATACCTTGGTCCAGTACTGACCCACTGAGAACATTTTAAACAGATTATTATCCATCTGTGAATTTTGTCTATCTGCAAGTTGTTTAGAATTGTTGTGTGAAAATAAACGTTACTGTACAGTTTAAGGTTTAATTGCATAAAAGCTTGGATAGAAAACTTCCTATTGCAAAAGTTAGAACATAAGTCTGCATATAAATAATTATTGATACCGTAATGCAAGTTTTTCATGGCACATGTGCATGATGAGGTTGTTTTGTGTTTATTTATTTATTTTTTTAAAGGACACTGGATAACTTGTCATTTTGTTATACTCATCTGGATTGGTGGTTTACTCGTCAAAGCTTTTATAGTTTATAAGTTTATATGTGTCTCCCAGCCCTGCAAATCTGGTCCCTTAGATAGAAAGCAGCCAAAAACCCTTTAAAATCAGCAACTGACCTGTTAGACAGTCTATCTCAAACCAATAGACAATCTTAGACTAGTTTAAGCTGTTTTACCCCAGCAGGGAGTGGGTGGATGAGTTGTTATGAACTATCTTTCTAATAGATTGATCAGATAGCACCCCTTTAATCTTTTCTATTTTACCTGTTCATGATAATTTTTGCATGTATTTATGCATAATTGTTCATGATTGTCATGCATGATTTTTATTGTATTATATTACATTTTTATTATTAATGTATTTAATTGTATTAATGTATTTAAATGTATATTATGTAAATGTACTAATGTGTTTGAAAATACACAATAAACCTTGTGCAGTTAAAGCTTCAATTGTTCTTTTTTCTATTTCCCATTAACAGTTAAAATAATATTTCTACGGATTTTCTACAGGTTACACAGTAGCACTATAAAATAAATACAATAACATTTCATACTATACAGTATTATTAAAAATTAACAGTGTAATTCTGTACTTTAATATGGTAAGAAATTACAGTAAAATAATGTTATTTAATTTGCACAGTACTGTAGTTAGTGTTACGGTAATTTTACTGTTAAATGAAATACAGCAAGTACTGGATAATTGTTGCCAGTAAGTTACTGTTAATTTGACAAGAAATTTTTTACAGTGAAGATATTTTATACACACAGTCAACTTCGCGAATACAGGAAGAAGCCATCTTTGAAAAATAGTCTCTACCAGTCGATCTACGAACACCGATCCATGTGCGCTGGTGAGATGTGAATAAGGTGATAAGGTGAGCGCGAACAGTAGGCTACGTGTACATTGAAGAGAAGAAAACGGTTCGTGTTTGTGTTTCTTCCGGAAACAATGGACCATATGAGATTCTGCACAGTTCAGCGCACTTGGATCGGCGTTCGTAGATCGACTGGTAGAGACTATTTTTCAAAGATGGCTTCTTCCTGTATTCGCGAAGTTGACTGTGTATATAAAATATCTTCTTATTAAACTGTTTGGACACTGACAAAGTTCTCAATGCTTCGGTTTGAATGTAGGGACCCTTATTATGCTACCGTGTTACTGTGGGGCTATTTTGATCCTTGTTAGTGGTAATAACAAGCGATTTTTATTTGTCATTACTCTATGCCCTATATACTAGCATTATACTAGCGTTATAGGCTAAACTGTTTTTAGAGATAAAACTATTTACATTCAGCAATCATGAAAACAAATCTCAGATAACGGTTGAATAGGTAACAATGTGTAATCAGACCAAAGGTTAATTTTGCGCCGGAGTTGTCCTTTAATGATGGTGTTGTTTCATTTATAGGAATTTACACAGCAAGCAAAATGAAAAACTACAGATCATTAGAAGCGCACACATTTTTTTACAGATGGATGGGTGCAGACAATCCATCATTTTAAACCTGAAGAATCTGAGAGTACCATTTTTAAGACTCAAGTCAAGCCATCCACAGAGAAGCCTCACAACACCTGGGTTGCTGTCAAAAGTGATGGGAATATCCTGGCAACCCATTGTGACTGCATGGCAGGGTACGACCAAACTTATAGAAACAAAATAAGAAGAACCAAGCTAAATATGTGTGAATGTACTTGGTCAGTAAACTGTGATTATGTTTTTTTTTATTTTTTATTTTTTTTCCAGACTTGGGGAAAGCTGTTCACATGTTGGGGCAGTACTGTTTAAGCTGGAAGCCTGTGTCCGCCTGGGTTACAACAAAGTTGCATGCACCAGTGTCGCCTGTGCCTGGAATGGTGTTTCAACCAAAACAATTGAGGCAGCAATGATTAAAGACATTGAGTTCTACAGTAAGCACACCAAAAAAAAAAGTGTCAAGAACCAGAGACCCATTCCAAAAGCTTCGGCCTCACAGCAAAATCAGCTACTGCAAATGCTCTCTAACACCATGAGCTTCCCATTGGGCTTAGCACTTTTAAGAGCCATGCTTATGTGTTTACCCCCAAACCCTGGTACAACAATTTAGAAGGCTTTACAGAAGAGCAGTGCTCCCAAGTGGAATAGGCCGCTGTACGTGAGCTGTATCGTTTAGGTTCGTTCCGACAAACGGGGCACTACATTTTCTTTTGCTCAATATGTTTAACGTTAATAAAAGGTATCCAAACAAAAAGTTCTCCACGCATTATCCTGCAGTTAATGAGAAAGTGTAATTTATTTACGCACTATATTGACTGCGTATTGAGACATAAAAAACGGTTGAGCTCGATTTTCAACCAATCAGCGTCGAAAATGAAAGTAGGTCTCGGCCAAATCAAGCTAATATCTCTACGCACATGTAAACACGGAGGACAGATCTTCATCTGATAGCGGCGATCAAGCTCGATTAACACCCGTAAAGTGTATTTTTCATGTCGGAAAACATGGTGGGAAAGGTCCGTAGCCCTTTACTGAAGTTCGATGGGAACAAATCAAGCAATGTGCGAAGGAATGGCTCAAAACGTCGGACACTACGGAGCTAGCTACGTTATTGATTACATGCTGCAAGTAAGTTACCTTCATAGCTAACATATCAATATTTTTTCATTATTTTTGGATGATGCTAATTTACAAACTTCCCGATCAGAATCTGGATAAAAACATCGACGCGATGTGAGACGTTGTCCTCCGTTGCTTGACCTGTTAAGAGGATGACCTCATCCAACAGTACAATGTAAGTGACTAGAATTAACCTATATATTTATGGCGTTTTGAGAAATGTATATGTGCATTGTTTTTATTTCTAACAAATTGAAATGCAACTTAAACGATACGTTTTTTTCCCAATTAAATTATATTTATTTATTTATTTATTTATTTGACAGAGACAATGCAAACAAACATAGTGTCAAGACCAAGAATGTCACTGAAGTGTTGCATATAAAGTTTATACTGTAGCTATTGCTAATTTTCAACTCCTGTCCCTGGAAGGGCTTTTATACACAATAAAATTTACATGATTAACTACTTCAATAATAATTAAAAAAAGTAATATTAACTTACATACATATCATATACAACTCTTATAATAATTAAAAATGAGCACACTTTTGGTTTATTTTTAACCAGCCTGGAAGTGAAAATCTTAAAGTCAGGCACAGTCTAGATTTCAAAAGGTAATGAGTTCCAGAGTTTAGAACTCTTCACAGAGAAGGTCGTCTGTCCAAAGCTGGTCCTGCAGTATGGTATTTTACAGTCATAATTTGTAGAGCTCCTAGTGACTCGGATGTTGTCCGGTCTCACAATAAATGTACTTATAGTGGCTCAGGTGCTGGATGATTAATGCACTTATAAATTAGTTTAAGAAAGGAAAAAAGCTAAAGCTATCAAAATTCATTAAATTATATTTATTAAAGATGCTGCAATGATGATAACGTAATGTTTTTTATTTATATAAAGATATATAAAGAACCCATGCGTTTGATTGCAGTGGGAGCGGCTTGTGCCCAGGTATATAAAGCTAATGTGAAAATATTTAGCACAAAATAGATTTTTGTCAGCCACTAAAAAGGTAACACTTTATTTTGATGGTCCACTTTAGACATTCTACTGGCTAAGTAACTGCATCTACATGTTTAACTTTATCTATTAACCCTAACCTAGCACTCTCTGAGTTGGTTGACATGTAGTTTCTATGTAGTTAGTAGGATGTCTATGGTGGACCATTGAAATTTAATTCCACCCTATAATAGTGTCACCAAATGTAATTTTACATTTATTGTATTTTTTCTTCCTGAATACACCCTCTGTCATTGGTGAAACTGTACTTATATTATTGTGACCTAAACCTAATATTTTTGTTTCAGTGATTACAAAGAAAATAAACTATAATGGTTTACTTGTAGTTGTCTTAGCATTTTAAGCTGTTAAAAGAAATTTTTACAACCGTACACAAATCAAGTTTATAATTATGGACAGACTTATGAGACATACAAGATAAAAGTAATGTTTGTTTTACAGTGTGACAATGGAGATATCCTGCAGCACATAATGAAAATTGCCATCTGCAAGAGGGATTCTCAGGAGTATTTCTGCATCATCTTGGAGGGGTGGATGCAAGTCATGGCTGGCTTGGAAAATCTGACAAGAGCCTGTGCTGTTCTTCTTGGACTCACGTATGCACTAAACCACAACTACCAGAACTGAGGCACACTTTTGAGGCCTTTCAGAAGCTCTTCTTGGAACTGAGTGTTTGCAAGTTTTCCCCGAAATCACTAACACTTAAAAAAAAACTCATGATGACTTTGATTGAGACAATGCATTATGACCAAGGCAAGTTCTGAATTAAAACAGCATTGATTGATGAACGTTTAATATTGTTCTACATACAGGCTTTCAGCAAGTACAAATTATTTTATATGTTTTACTACAAGTTATTCACAAGTTAGTCTAGAATGTGACTTTTTCCAACAGAAATTTGTAGGCACATGTTTTTGTGAAACAAAATGATCTTTCTCAATGACATGAAAAATGTTAGCATTTTTTTTTTGCTTTTATTTTTCATATTTTAAAACTCTTACATTTTATATAGATTTGTTTTATTTGTGCAAAAAATACAGAATAAAAGCATGTTTGATAACAAAAGGTGTATTATGTATTCATTATTATAACATTTACTGTCTGAAAAAAAGGCAGTAAATGTTATAATTAAATAAATGTCATTAATACAAATGAGTAAATTCTGCTTGATTTATTTGTGAGGCGACTTAAATAAAAAAAAAGCACATTACACTAATAATATTAAATTCATTATGTGCCATAGACTAAATAATTTAGGACATTTTACTTAATTTATTCGGGTAGATCTCACACACACACAAAAAAAACACCTGAAAATCTACTCAAATATAATATGTGTAATATTGTTACCATACTTTTTTTTTTTTAAAGTAGATACCATGTAATATTTTTTACAGTGTACATGCAGTGCAGTTACTGTTTGTGTATGCGAACTGACAATTCACCATTAAATGTGTTATTTTGAAAAGTGTTTTACTTTTTTTATATATTATATTTTGGCTGAATTTTATTTGTTATTCAGATTTTCCTCAAACATTACCTTTGAATTGGAACAACATAATGAGAAGTAATTGGGATGTTAATGATAGAAGTTTTCTTGATAATCTTATGTTTACTGTGCCTAGATGGCAACTTCAGGTATATCACACAATTCAAGCTTGTTTATTTTGTAGTTTACTGGTTTACTCAAGTGGTAATTTTGCATTTTTGGGTTTATATGATAAACAGGTTAAAAAATGCAAAATTCCCTATGGTTTTGCTTTATTTCAAAATGGGCACTTTTAGCATTTTTTTTCTCAAAAACTGCAAGGTTGTGTGCGGAGAACTTTTTCCTAAGGAATCTCTATATATTTCTGATGTTAAATAAAAAAAAAAAAGTAGGTAGTGCCCCACTTGTTGGAACGAAACCCTATTTCTAGGCCTCTTTTAGGCTACTGACAGCGGCCTAAAGAGGAAACAAAAGGCCAAGCTGCCTGCATAGCTTGGCATCAACATCGGGTGGGGCGGATCACAGGCTCTACTGCACACAAAGTCCTGCACACATCTTTGGAAACACCATCACAAACATTAATTAATGACATCTGTAGTAGTAACTCATCAGTCACACTGAGAGTGCCGTCTTTGCAGTGGGCCAAGGACCATGAAGTGGATGCCATGGACACCTATAAATATGCTCTATCCCTGTGCAGTGCCACATCCAATACCTCACGTTCCGTAATGGTGACAGAGGACATTTTCAAGACCCACATCGACCTAAAAGTAACTAAAGCTGGCTTTAGAATTTCTAAAGAGAGGCCATATATTGGGGTGTCTTGTGATGGGTATGTTTCATGCACATGCTGTGGCAAAGGAGTACTTGAAGCCAAGTGTCCCTTTAGATGGGCAAACGATCCCACCATCAACTGGACAGAAGATGATAAAGGACATCTGGAGACTTTATTCACCTTGAAGAAGAACCACTCATACTACACACAGGTACATTATGATTGCAATCTATTTAAAAAGGAAAAAAACTTGATATAGATGTCAATCTGAGAACACACTATAACTAAAATAAACATATGTTTTACAGGTGCAGATGCAGATGTTTACCTGTCTAGCAAGCTATGCTGACTTCATAACTTGGACCCCACAGCAAAGCACCATATTTCGTGTTGCAAGAGACGAAGATTTTATTTTGAAAAGTCTAGACACAGTTAGCAGGTTCTGGGCAAGGCAGATATACCCGCGTCTGACAGGAGCCTCATTCACCAGGATGGACCAGGAGGTAAACCAACTGATTTAAATCACTGTTAAACACTAATCAGAGAGACAGTGGGTATTGTGCATACATATATTTAATATAATAAATAATACATTACAAATAATACATTATAATAATATTACCTTTGAAACTGTTGCCGTGGCGACGCATCAAACTTTACCCTTCTTTTAGGATGCTTTTAGGATGCTTTTGAGACCCTTAGCATGCTTCAAAATGCATGAAACTCGACAGACACATCACATTTATTAGCCAGTAGACATGTGCAAAGTTTCAGAAACGGGTGTGGTGAGGGCTCAGTAGCGCCACCTTTTGACAAAAGTGGGGTTGTTAGTTTTAACTAGAGTTACAAAAATTGGTATGTATATTGTACTCCTCGAGCTGGACAACTTTCTAATTTACACTTATTAACTAGGACCCACAGAAACTCAGATATTTTTGTTTGAATATGGTCACTCTGAGCCTACATGTCTCTGTGTCTCTGTCTTTGGCTGTCTGTGTGTGTGTGAGTGTGCAGGGGGAGGGGGCTTAACCATTTCACTGCTGTGTGTATGGCCTGCATAAAGAAAATACATTTCTCAAGCCTGGTATTTTTTAAATAAGTTTTTATTTTTATTTTTTATAAGTAAAGACATATAACTAGTTTAATTGTAGTGCATTGACAATAGTTTTATATAATTAGTTTATTAATCAGATTAACTTGGTCAATAAACTTGGTCTGAAAATTTGGTCCATAAATCAAACACACTTGCATGTAATAATATGAAACTTGGTACACATATAGATCTCATCGTTTCATATATAGCCTACTTCACACTCTTACTTTTTACCCCAGCCCAACAGGAAGACGGCTATTTAGGGTTGTGTTTAAAACACATGCAATGGAATTTAAAGTATTGCTCCTAGAGCACTGAACCAAATTCAACAAAACTCGATCAGCGTGAAGTCAAGACATTAAGGATGAAAAGGTGCCAAGGGATTTTTTATATCTCGAACGGTTTGGCCGTGGCGAGGAAACGAAATTATGGCGAGAAACAGGAAACAGGATGTGTGTTATAACTTCAGCATACATTAACCGATCTTGATGAAACTTCAGCAGTGTTTTCGCTGTAAGAGACCGATCACATGGATGTGACTATTGTGAGTCAAAATTATAGCGCCACCAACTGGCAGCAGGAAGTGTGTCGGTTTCAAAATGCTTTGAAACCACTCTCTTATTTTTAACCGATTTGCTTCAAACTTCATCTGTATAATGTAAATACACGGCAGATGTAGACCTGTGAATGAATTTTTGATATCTTTGATACTGTTGCCGTGGCAACGAATCAAACTTTAACATTCTTTTTTGATGCTTTTGGGACTCTTAGCATGCTTGAAATTGCTTGAAACTCAACAGATACATCACATTTATTAGCCAGTAGACATGTGCAACTATGGCAAAAGATTAAAGTAATGTCAAAAAAGTAAACACTAAAAGCCTCATATCTTCTAAAAATGTAATTATACATCATTTGTTTCTAAATTAAATTATACAAATATTATAACTTCCCCAATTTTTCCTTTTTTTCATTTAAGAATTATGTTTACGTTCAAAAACAGCCAGAATTGTTGTAAAATTCATAAAAAAATAATAATCTGAGTCATACGTAGTGCTATACTGCCCTCTTGTGTTCAATATCAGGTAGGCCTATTGTGTATATTCCCATCGGTTAATCAACGTGTGACTCCGCTGGGACTTGGGAGCTTTTAAATCGCTTACTTAAAACCGAAAGTCGAAATACGGATGTCCGCACAAGACATTAATGGTGTGGAGTAGAGCGAGCATTTTAAATAAATTCCTATTAAGTAGGATTGAACTAAACAGAAAGAATGTTCACTCTGTTCTGCTGGTTCCTCGCTGGTGGATCATATGATTACTTTGTCATAATCTATGACAAAAATGCTATTATAAACCATATTAATAATAGATAATACACATTGCTCTTATTTTTGAAAAATACATTCATGAAAAACAAGATAACAAAAATCATAAAAAAATATAGCCATGGCTGCTATAAATGTTTGAAATGCATAGGACAGATGTTTAATGACACAGCAACATATAATTGAAAGGCAATTAATAATCTGTCATTACGTCACTGCATTATGATATTACGGCTCCAATACGGTGCAGCACAAAGCACTTATGTGCATCCCGAGCGGAGAATGATGTGCTTGAAGCCACATGAAGTTACAGCGCAGTGAGTCCGTATTGAAAAGTTCAAAGCACAAAGGAAATACATATTTATGAACAGTGTATTATACATTATCTATCTATGCAATAGTTTATTGAGCCTTTTCTTTTAAAGGTTTTAAATTTCAGTTACTGTGTGCGTGAAGAACAATTATAGTGCTCTGACTCTAGTGTTGTGATCTAACCGACAGCGTCCGACACCCGGTAGAAAGTAACACGGTTAAGTTACAGCAATAAAGTCCAGCAAGAAAAAGTTTCTTCATTCGAAAATATAGACCTTTAGACCTTTATCTTAAAGATCCAGTATAATAGGATTAACATTCAATCATCTTGAAGATCGTTTCATCATTGACTGTAACCGAATGTGACGTGCTGTTTGAATGCGGAATGGAGAATGACTGACAGGCGCAGAGAGGGAAAAGTTTGTGTTCTTGAATTTAATGACTTAAATATTAATTTCTATATCACATAATAGCTTCAGAACACTAATAATACAGTACACAAAAACTTTATGGTACTTTAGAAAGTTTTTTGTGCCTTTGTGCCTAACATAGAATAGTATATATGCACAATATAGAATTTGAATCAGCCTCGTCAAAGATGGCAGTGTCAGAGCCGATACCGATCCTGAGTATCTAATCGGCGCACTTCTTTTCAACAGTCAAATTGAAATTGAAATTGAAATTGCTTGAAACTCAACAGATACATCACATTTATTAGCCAGTAGACATGTGCAAAGTTTCAGAAACGGGCATGGTGCAAGGACTAAATAGCGCCACCTTTTGACAAAAGTGGGGTTGTTAGTTTTATCTACAGTTACAAAAATCGTTATATACATTGAACTCCTCAAGCCGGACAACTTTCTATTACATAGTCATTAGCTCGGACCAAGAGGAAGTCAGATATTTTGGTTTGAATATGGTGAGCCTCTCTCTGAGCCTACGTCCCTGTATGGCAAGCCCTTTTAACATTTAAAAGCAAAGTTTGCCTATCCGGAATTAACATTGTAGATATCAACAACGTCTTTCTGTCTATTCGTAATTACATTTTGGATAGTTTGTATTATCATTTAAGATATCTGTAACATAATTGTAACTAGTCGAAATGACAGAGTATGGCAAGCCGTTTTAACATTTAATCATAAAAGGGCCAAAGCCTTCGGCACCGCCACCCGGGTGCATTTAGGTAACTAAAGGAACCGGGGTTGCGGTGCCACCGGCTTGGGCCCGCCATCGCTGCTCGCAGCTATATTTATTAGGGCCCGAGCACTAACAGTGCGAGGACCCTATTGAAATTGTTAGGATTATTTTTTTTTAGGGCCCGAGCACTAACAGTGCGAGGACCCTATTGAAACTGTTAGGATTATTTTTTATTATTATTATTTTTTTTTTCTTTTTTCTGCAAAGTAAGTGCCATTTTCGGGGCCGCAACATGCTCAAAAACTCACCAAATTTGGCACGCATGTCAGGACTGGTGAAAAATTTCGTATTTTGTGGGTTTCGCAGATGGGCGGGGCAAAATGGCACGCTAGCGCCACCTAGAAAATTGGAAAAAATTAGCCCCTCGTCCACGTTCAACCTACATGCACGAAATTTGGTAGGGACGTGTATCATATC